CGTTAATAAAACGATCGATACTTATACATGCATAGATACATGATACATACACATCTACATAGGTGGGTTACAATTCAAATGTTCAAGTATTAGCATACGAATCGTATAGATGAAAATGTAACTAAATAATTTCTCCTTTTTATCATTTTATCCTCCGTCTCCTTTGATTCTATTGAGACAAATTTATTTTGTTATTTTTATGCGTTTTATTTTTTCATTTTAAATAATTAAATTTTGTACATTGTGAAACAAGGCAAAGAAATGGTAGGAATTTGAAAAATTGTTCTGACAGTTATGATTGAATAAAATAATTACAATTGAAAAGTTACGTAAAATAAATAAAGTAGTATATCGTCACGCTTTACACGTATTTATTATGTATGCGTGTATGATATTCTCGTATTTCATAGTATTCATCTTATTATACGTAGATAGGGACCAGTGTTGCCCTTATGTTTATCAAAGAGAACACGTACTGCATTTTGATTTGATATTAACAAACTGTGACAGGGAAAACGTGATGCTATTATCTAATGTTACTGTCACTTAACAACTATAGACAATATATAGACAATATATAGATTATAATTTATTCGATTAGAATTAATTTCAATCATAATTTAGACAACTAATATTAATAATATAATTTATAAGTATATTTAATAAAAATAAAACAAAAAATAAAACAAAAAATATATATACACGCATAAAACATGCATACATAAATAAGCTGAAACAAAACAAAAAAAGAAAAGAAAGGAATACGAGATTTTGATCACGTTATAATCCTATTAATAATAATAAAAATATCGTGTGTCTGATTTGATATTTTTGTTCTATTTTTCATATTTTCTTTTCGTACCAATATTTTATCACCATGCATCCCTCGTTTGCATTCACGTCAGCAGTTTGAGAAACGTCGTCGACGAATGGTGATTTTCCTTCTCTCTTGACTTTTCTCCCTGGATAGAATATAATAATTTCGTTGAATTTTTCTCTCACGAATTCATGGACCAACAATATATATATATATGTATATAAAATGATTACACCTTCGAAAATGCAACTTTTCTTCTTTTTTCCATAGTAGTTATGAAAAAGAATAACTGAGTATTTTTCGATTGAATTTAATTGAAGACAAATGTTTGAACATTTAAATTAATATTTAATCAACGTTGTGTAAATCCTTTAATAGATAATTATCGAATGATAGAATTTGTTAAACCTTATAGTACTTGAAAAAAAAAAAAACATAGTCGAGAATACAATTATTTATTCTGCCAAGAAAAAAAAGGGATCATCATCTTTAGGTATCGAATAGGAAGAAACTCGTCGAAGGAAATTTCTTCACCTCCCCCGTTAGTTCTTTCTTTCTTTCTTTCTTTTACCCTCGAAACCATCGAAAAAATCCTCGAAGGAATTCGTTTTGACCTAATTTCGGGTATATCCATCCTAACCGGTACGAAAAGTAGACGAGAAGAGAGCTAAGTCATTATTTAATTACGACGTTTTCCTTTGCAGTAAAGCCAACAGACCCAACTTACTTCTTTTTTTTTTCTCGGTGTATCAATTAACTTAATAGAGTGAGCTGGAGTCTCTTCTCTTATCTTGAAATTTCATTAACGTTATCCCTCTCCTGCCCACTTTTCCCCATATACATAGATATATTTATATATAAATTGAAATTCGTTTCTTTTACTTTTGGTATTTGCAATTATTATGGTAGATATTAAAATAATGAACATTTTTTACAACCTGAAATTCAAATTTATTCGAATAATGTATTTTGTTTCTTTTTTTTTTTTTATTTCTTTTTAATGATCCCCTATGACATTAAAAATTATAGGTTGACGTTTTGAACGATCCCTTTTTCTACATAATAATATCGTATACAATGTGAATACATATGTATGCATATACATAAATTTATGCTTACTTAGATATATATAATATGTATATATATCATTGAAACGAATTTCTCGTAACCACCAAGAAGAAACAGCTTATTCGGAATTGGAGCATGAGGTCGAAGGTCACTCGCCTGGAGGTGCAAACGTATCCATGTTAAAGGTCACGGTTATGGGGGAGGAGATGCAAAATTTCAACGCGAAATAATAACAGATTCATTTAACCGTATATGCATTCTCCAATCAATCATTCGAATATATTCTAATTTCATTTTGTGTCAGTCGCGAAAAATTTATTTATAGATATTAATTGAAATATATTTTTTATATATATTATAAATTATTTATTGTAGTTTTATTATTTTTATATTTAAATATATATACGATTGTTTTGTTTTTATTTTTTTTTTTATTAGAAAATATTATTTTTATTATTACATACGAGAATCAGATGAGAGACTAAAAATATATTCTATGTATTTCTGTTTTTGTAGTTTATTTTCTTATACTTTTATTCAATTTTTATTTTTCATCTGGAAACACTTTTCGAGACGTCGACGATGGAAGCACGTAAATATTCATATACGTACACACATGACACACACACACACACACATATATATATATATATAAATGAAAACATAAAATAAAAACAAAAAGTACGACGATTAAAAATATATTCCATATTTTTCTCTCCCCCGGTATATTATCTTTTCTTTTCTTTTCTTTCCATTTTTTTTTCTTTCTTTCTTTTTAATATTTTATTTCTTTAACCAAGTTTATTTTTGTCTAGAAATTTTTTCGTTGATATTTTTACGCGCATATAAATAAATGTAAATACAAAATAAATTTCTATATGCGAGTGTGTGTGTGTGTGTGTGTGTACGATACCTAAAAATATTTTTTTATATTTCTATCCACTTTTTCTTCTTTTTTTTTTCTTCTTCTTATTATTATTATCATTATGTATATATATATATATATATAAATTATTATTTCTTATCAAGTAAAGGTAGACATCATTAGACGATTTCAGTCGAATGCCTTGTGCCTTTGCGACGTGCATAATTTCTATATACATACACACACACACACACACACTCATACATAAATATATATATATACATTTATCGATAATCTATATTCAATAATGAGAGTGTTTTTGCGTATGCGTGATATATCTATCTATGTACGAGTAGTAAGAGTATAGCAGTATCCGTCATACTTATTCAAACTCCTTAAGACTCGATAAAGAAAAACGAAAGCTGCTAAATGAAGCTTTTTTTTTTTATTATTTATATTCACGTGTGAGAAGATACATTTCATCTTCGTTTAATTCAAATTTTTCTTTTTATTTAAATTCTCCTACATATCTTTTCTTTTTCTATTTTGTTTTTATTGAATTTTATTACAATACATTTCTCTCATATACTTCAGTTATAATATTATACATTTATTTGAAATGAAGAAAAAACAAATTATAATTTATCGAGATCGAAAGATACGGTTATAATAATAAAAAAAAAAGAAAGTTATATAAAGAGAAAAGAATAAAACTTCGTTGTATTGTCTCTTGAACTGTATATTATTATTTTTATTCTTTTTCTTCACATTTGTTTGAATTCTTTCTATGAAAAGAAAACATTAATAAAGGATATAAAAAAAAAAAAAAACATGGTCTATTTTAAATATTAACTCATTTTAAGAAGTTGTTTCTATTCAAGCAAGCATAATATAAAACATTCTGTCTCTCGTGTTGCAAATAAATTATTAATAAATTTGTCCAAGCATCACACGACGGTTATTCCTAACTATCGTGGGAAATATACATTTGTTAGAAAGTAAGTACATATGTAGAACATCATACACGTATATAAATATATAGTTGGGCATGTGTAGAATTATTGTTAGACCGCTTTAACCCTAATCGAACTAAACAATCTATATATATATATATTTATAATAATTACAACACCTACGTTAAATCAATTAAAACCCTTATCGCGAGCGATAAATTAATAATCCAAATGTTTCTAATATCTAAATTAATGTTGAATATAATCATACAGAAGTTCAAGTATATAGATAAACCAAATAAATTGATAATTAATTAATAAAATTATTGTAGAGTTGATAAATTAATAATCCAATATTTAATTGAATATAATCATTGAAATTGAAGTGTATAGATAAACAAAAAGATAATTAATTAATAATATTATTGTCTGTTAATATGTATACTTGGTAATATCTAATGAAAAATGAAAAATGTGTTCATATGTAATTAGAAAATTTTGCATCATAGATAAACTTAGGATAGGGTAGTAGTTGGGGGTATGAAGGAAGAAGGTGTACCATTGGATGGGAACGATAGTACTATTTTTATAATATAAACTCGATCATAGCGTAAACGAGAAAGTAAAAGAGTGAACGAGAGAGGGGTTGTTGGAGGGGTTGTTGGAGGGGTTGTTGAAGGGGCTGTTGGAGGGGCGAGGAGGGGCGAGGAGTCGTGAAAATCGCGGCTTGGCGCGGCGCGACAGTAGTATATGCCGGTTAGAGTCAGACATGCGCTGTTAAAGTGGCTTGCGCCAGGGAGGGGTGGTCAAGAGGATGCGCAAGGGTAAAAAGCTCGAGGGTGAAAAGCCACGCTTCAGTTTGTCGCGTGTCCCTTCGACTGCGACCACTTCGCGTGTTGTCATTCACAACTCGACGTCAAATGTTTTAAGAAAAATACAAAAAAAAAAAAAAATGTTGCAGAAATTATATAAACTATAAACGCGTAAATGAAATTGTGAAATCGTGTTTTGTCGTTTCGAATTATATCACGTGATATTTGAAAAAAAGAAAAATAATTCAAAATAAAAGACACTAAAATTAATCAAACGAATATATTGAAAAATCTAAGGAAGAGAAGATCAAAATTACAGTTGATAAATATGGGAGTATCGTTCGAAATGATTTATAATATTGATAACAAAAAGATATCAATAATATCAATGCGTTTATTATCGAAATACCGACGATGAGGGATAAGGAAAGAAGAAAAAAGGAAAAAAGGAAAGAGAAAAAAGTGAGACGAGATAAATCGTGAATAAATTATTACTCTCTTTTTTTTTTATTGTTTTTTTTTTTTATTCTTCTTTCATGATAAACAACAACGAGAACGAGTTGAAACGTAATTCGAATATATACAAAATTATTAACAAACATATATGTATTCTAAATAATGTCAAATGGAATTGTCAATGGCCTTCGGTTCGTCATTTTTATCTTGTTCATTTATGCGAAATAATTTGAATCATTGGAGAACGTAGCGACGGACTAAATTTATTTCTAATCGTGCCTAAACAACCCTAATCACATACACACAAATTAGCATAATTTTTTTTTCTCTATTTTATTATTAATTATAATTTTGGTTTGACCGTTCAATGATCTACACAAATAATCTACGATGATTTCTTAGACGACGAAATATTCGTACGATCGATTGTAAATAACATTGATTTTTTTTTTTTTGTTAATTAATCTGTAATTTTGTTTGTTCTATTTTTTATTTTTCCATCTTCAATTAAAAAAAAAAAACCTATGACAAACACGGACCGGAAAAGTTTGATCTTTTATTGACGATTAATTGTTGTTGTTGCTATTGCTGTTGTTGACATTGTTATTGTTAATGTTGTTGTAGTTATTGTTATTTCTATAAAAAATAGAAAGAAATAACATGAAGAAATGACAAATATAGTTACCATCAGATCGATGAAACTATTGGAAAAAAATAATACAAATTTGACGAAAGACGCGTTAGAATTTACGTTGATTTCGATCATCTCAGTTTAAATCGTTTCCGTTCGTTCGTTCGTTCGTTCGTTTGTTTTATTTCTGTATAATTTATTGCGAGAGGATATTTTATGTTTTCCTTTTTTACGGAGATGACGTGGATAAAGCTCGTTAAGTCTTACGACGATCGGAGAAGAACTAGTCCGTAAGAAGATCAGATAATGACGGAGTCTCCAACAGCATCGACGAGCAAATGCCACGACGATAAATCCGATAAATCCGAGAAGGCAGTTTTTCTGGTAAATCGATTTTCAAATCTCCTCCTCTCTATCTCTCGTTTTTTTTTTTTGCTTCGATAATTCTATCCTCCTGCCCCCTAATTTCTATCACTTTCTATCAATTTAGATAATAAAACGAGAGAGAGAGATAATTCGATTTGTTTGTAAACGTTTGATTTACGATTCGAGATAATCGTTAGATTAAATTTTCATTCAATAAAAAGAAACAATGAAGACAATGAGTTGTTTACAAAATTAACAATCATTAAATGGAATGATTCTATTTTAAATTCGATACAAAGTGTATTATTATTATACCTTACCTTTTTTAATAATTAAACAATAAATTTCTATCTTGAAACAATTAAATTTCCTTTAATAATAAAATTATAATAAAAAGAAACGAATCGTAAATCGTACGTCAATGTTTGTCTTTTTATAATCTTGAAAGATCATTTTTTAACATTGAGTGAATTGTTTTAAATTAAAATAAAACTAAAAATTCGTTCTCTCAATGTTTTATTTCAGCAAATTCAGGATATAAACAGCCAAGTAGCACAATTTCGAGATCTTCTGATAAACGTCGGCCAACCACGTGATTGTCCAGAATTAAGAGAAAAAATAAGAAAATTGCGAAGAACTTGCGTCGAAGCTTGCAAAGAAACTTCTCAAATTGTCCTGCCACAAGTACGAAGGTATTTTGGATTTTAATATTTCAACAAGAACAACAAAATTCCAATGATTTGTCCAAATTTATCACAAAAGTTGTGTGTGTACGAAAATCATTAATTTAATCGTTAAAATAATTGAGAAATTTGTAGGCAAACCATTCCCCTCCTTCTCATCGTGTATAAAAACAAAATTGGATTCTACTCTTTTCCAATAATTTTCTATCTTTTACAAAAACAGATTATTATTTTGAATTATTTTTAATTAGAATTGTGTTATTGATACTATTACTTGCATCTAAAAGAGATAAATACAATACAATATTAAAATATTACGATGATACGAAGTATTAATTAATTACAAATGAAAGAGGGGATCTTGGATATTAAAAAGAAAAAAAGAAAAAAAGAAAAAAAAAAAAGAAATGATAAAAATAAAAAGAAGAAGAATTTTATTTTTCTCGTAGAATCGCATTTCAGTTTGTCTTACATTAATAAAATTCCAATTAACTTGGTAAATAGATAGGAAAATGTAAAGTTTTCTTTCCATTTTTTTGTTTTTTATTTATCTCTTTTATACCTTTTTTCTTTCTTCTATTAACCTAATCGTTAATTCACTTTCCTTTTTTTATAATAACTTAACAATTGACTAACGAAGATTTTCATAGAAGTTTTTTCTTGATAAAAAAGAAAAGAAAAGAAAAGAAAAAAAAAGAAAAGAACAACCCTAATTAATTACATTCGTACCTTTCTCTATTCCCTATTCTCGTTCTTACTGTTACAAATTTATGATGGTGTGGTATAGCGTCGATGAATTTCCCATATAAATTATTTCTCTTATTAGTGTTCGTGTATAGTAACACGCGATTTGATAGTTTAAAAGATATATTTAAAAGAAAAACTTGAGGTATATTTAATGCATCTTGGATTGTTCGCATAATCGTTTGACGTGAACAAATTTAATATATGAAATAAAAGTAAAATAAATTTAATATATATATATATATAGAGAGAAAGAGAGAGTTAATATTATATTATTATTATTAAATATATAATATATAATATAAAAATATAATATAATAAATAGTTATATAATCGAATAGATTATAAATTATTACAAGATAAAATGTAATAATAATATTGAAAGCCAAGACGAATGAAAAATAGTAAAAAAGAAGATGAAACGATTTTAAACGTTTCATTTGTAGATAGAAAAAGAAATGAAAATGAATGATCGTTTATCAGGTTCGTAAATCGATTTTTAACGAGATAGAAGATGACAAAGTTGAAAGAAAAGTATCCTTTTAAAAATAGAAGAATCTTTTACTGTCAATGATTGTTCCATTCCTTCATTCTCATCTCTCTCTCTCTCTCTCTCTCTCTCTCTCTCTCTCTCTCTCTTCTGTGTCACGTTATAGTCTTTGAAAAATTTTCTTCCGGGGGTTTGCACGACCTAATGAAAATCTTAATTTTTCATGGCCTCCTTTTTTTTTTTTTAACAGAAACCCTCTTCTTTTCTCTTTCTCTTACATTCTTTTTCTTTTTTTCATTTTTGTCTATCTCATTGTCAGTACTCTGTCATCTTCCTCATCTTCTTCTTCTTCTTCTTGTTCTTCTTCTTGTTCTTCTTCCTTTTCTTGTTCGTAGAATAACAAAAGGGTGGTACGTTTATCCCTTCGTTTGATTCCTTTTTTTATTTTTTTGTTTTCGTTTCTAATTTTTTTTCGAGACAATGAAATATGTAAATCAAACCTAGTAGCAGAAAATATTGAAAAACATTGAATACATTGTGTATTTAATATTAAAAAGAGATTCAATATTTTTCAATATATTCTACTACTAGAGAATCTTTATCTGAGTCAAATCATTTTTAATTTGTACACTTATTGAAATCAGATTAAATGTTAGAAATTTATTGAGATTTGTATTTGTATTTAAATGATTTTCTAAATGTTTGTTGAATCATAGTTGGGATTTGTAATTTCATATGCCAATAATGTTCGTGTGTATATAGTTTTGTAAAATTTAACAAAAATAAAACGAAACATAAATTAAGTTTATATACATAAAAAAAAGGGGGAGAAAATAAAAATCGTAATTGCACTCGTAATTATTAATTAACGATCAATTTTCACAATCAATATTAATTGTAACCAATAAAGATAAATATAAACGAGTAGAGAATTTAATTTGAAGTATTCTACGCAAAGAAAATAACAAACGAATTATTAATTAAACGAGAACAATCGTAACCACAATCAATGAAATAGTATTACAATTCATTGATGAGGAAACATTTAATAGAAACAATTTGTTATCGAATAAAAAGAAATTACGCGTTGGATGTTGTTCGTTACACATTGCGTATAATAAATTCCTAAAAAAAAAAAGAATTAAAAAAAAAGGTAGAAAAAAGAAAGATAGAAAGAGAAAGAATTTTTTAAATTAAATAATAAATCAATTGGAACGTACAATAAATTTGTTGTAAAAAAAAAAATATTCAATACTTTTAACACTAAAACTATCACACCAGTCATTTTGACTTGATTTGGTCTTATTGTTATTATTATACAGTTTTTAAGATCTCAGAACATGGAGTTCCTTTTGTAAAATAATAATAAGTCAATAAATATAAAAATATTCAACTTTTACGTCTTTTTTTGACTGGTTTTGGTAGAGATAGCTACGTCTCAACTGTTGGTAGTTTTAGTGTTAAATGATTTAGGAAACACCTAGTATATGTAATATATAATAGTAAAATTGTATATAGTCAGGGAAAATAGGAGTAGTATATTCAATCGAATAATCGGGGACATCGTTTCTGAGGTAACAATAGCTATGACGTATTACACGTTCAGTTAGTCTAATTGGATAGTTAGAAGACTTAGGCTATTTGTCTTTCTATGTCCATCTAAAATACGATAGCCATGTCATTATTTGGATTTGTTTTTCCATTTTCAAGTTGATAAACAACAACAACAACAACAACAACTACTACTACTACTACTATTACAAAGAGACAATGAAATGAATAAAGTAGTAGAAAGAGATTGAGGAAAAGAAAAAAAACAACAACATAAAATTGGATAAACTTTTGTTCTACTTTTGAATAAAATGTAACAGCGTTAAATTATCTAACAAGTATTATACACGTTTGCTAAACATTTCTCTTCGGAGATTTATGCTTTTAAATTGATAAATATAAATATATTATTAATATTTTTATATTTCATAAAAATAGAGAGAAATAATAATTTAAATAGAAATGTTTACGAGTACTTTATTGAATTCGTTTGTATTGTTTGAAAAATTATTCACCTTGATAAAATTCCAGAAATATTTTATTTCTCTTTCTCTATTTTTTATTCGTTATTATTTTTATTTCAAGCATTCGAACGAATGATACAAATTTATACTATTCGGTAATAAAAAATTAAACAAAAAAGAAAAAAAAAGTAAAAAGAATTAGAATCACCTTGAAATAGTACTGTATAATAATACAAAATTTATAGTTGGAATTAGAGTCGGATTCAGTAGTAATAGTAATAGTGATAGTAATAGAGTAGTTTATAGTAGCCCACATCTGGAAATATGTCATTTGCAGTGGCGTCAACTGTCATACGCAATAACAGTCGTAACCATTCGTATGCAGGGCACGATCATGTGTAAATAATATTACATAGATAGTAACAAATTATACGTATGATGTCGTTAGATAATATGTTCAATATTTAGGAGAGAGAGAGAGAGAGTGAAATAAAGATGAGATTTACTAAAATAGATCTTTAATTAAAGTTAGGAAAATGATATTACGCTTTGAGTAATTATTACGTAACTAAACATCGTCGTTACGATTTTACCGATTATCGTCTAGTTAATGATTAATCAGATTAATTTCAAATTAATTATATTTCAATCTCTTACTTTGGTATGTAAACAGATTTATTTGTTTTTTGAAATTTTTCTTTAAATCATGACGTAACAAAAAAAAAGCTAATTAGAATGATAATGTAACATAATCTCTTATAACAATAATAATGTATTATATTCGTAAGTATGCATTGCATACGCCAGAACGATAAGCATCACCTTATACTTGGTCGATAATTACGTTGCGTGCACTTTTATCGGTTAAAAAGATTTATTTTTTTTTTTCTAAGATAAACTACTTTGTAAGTGGGTCTACCAAGGCACGCATTACAACATGCGTGCATAGTTTTTTATTTTATTATTTTTTTTTTGTAACTATCTATCAATATATATTTATATATTGATACAATTTATTGTATTGATATACAAATATAATTGTTGCTAATATAATAAAATTATATTGATACTATTAATTTTATTGATTTATATTGATATAAACATAGAGAGATATTTTATAGATAAAAAAAAATAACGTTATACGAGTAACCAATCTTTTGTTTGTCGAGGATAAAAACAAAATTAAAAAAATACAAACAGGGTGGAATAAAGTTAGGGTGGAAAAATAGGATTTCTTTCATATATGTTTTTTCTTGTTGTTCTTTTTCGTGTGCAATTTAGGATCAAGCGAATATTTCATTCACATATATCAGAATTTCGAAGGGATCTTATTTCCGAATAGAACGCGCGTATACGGGAAAAACACACATGGAATATGTTCGCGTAGAGAATCACGAAGAAGGACGAAAATGGTTGGGAAGAAAAGGGATGATATTTCTCGAAAGGATCAAAAATTGTTTTGCCAAGGTTTCGTCGTAAATGTGTTGACGCTCGATCGAACGTCCTCGATTACGAACGATTTGCTATAGAATTTATTCATGAATATATAACCCATTGATATGCGTGAATTTCATTTTCTATGTATGTGTGTGTGTGTGTGTGTGTATTTGGTCCCATGGTTCATGTCAATTTCAGTAGTTCGTCCAACATTTCTGATGGATCTTCAATCATTTTCCATATTATGTTCTCACGTAATCGAATTTTTTTTTTTTTTTAATTTTCTTTATATGTTGTTATATTTGATTGTATATACGTGTATCATTTTCAATTTCAAACGTCATTAGGGGCCCGTCGTTAATATTTTTCAAAACTTAATTGAGAAAAAATCTTATTGTCATTTACGAAAAAATTCACATCAAACAAAAAATAACAATTTAACAACACAAATGTAATTTTATATATAATTTTAAATTTATATAAAGTTATAAATAAAATAATGACCAATGTTCCGGCTATCACACACATGTTGTGTGAGCGGCCATTAAAGTGTTAATTAGAACAATTATACACGTATGTATGCAATTGAATATTAATTAACGTTATAGATTAATGTGATGCAATTATAAATATTATTTAGAAGAAAAATAATAATTTATATGATATCATTTTTCTTATCAAACATAAAGAGAGACATAAATTTACATTTAGTAGAAATAATTTGTATGCAGCAGTAATAAAAATTGCGTAATCGTTATCATTTGATATGTTGCTGTTGCTGCTGCTGCTGTTACTGCAATAACGAGAATGACGATTAGTATTATAATAATAATAATAATAATTATTATTATTATTATTATTATTACTATTTTAATGGGAGCTTTATTCGACAATAATAAATAAATTAGCTCACGCTAACCGATGTAAAATTATGCAAATATTATGGAAATATGCGAAGAACGATCATTTCTTTTATTTGCACGTTATTTTTTTTTTTTTTTTTTTTTTTAATTTTTTTTTCACCGAGATTAACCAGTTTACAACTTTTATCCACCTCCCGTTATGTACGTTAATATGTATAATATTCTCGAGGGTTGTGCATACTGTATATAGAAGTCCATTATGAAAGAAATGCTTAAAAGTATCTAGATTATTATTACTGCACGCTCCTTTAAAATATTCTTTCTATGTTTTTACATATAATTAAATGTGTTTTTACGATTTAATGGAAGTCAAATTTATGATTTTTCGCGTGACCGAAGGTAGTACGACAGTTCGTGCTTTTCTCTTTTTTTTTTTTATTATTTTTTTTTCTTTTCTTTTCTTTTCTTTTCTGGCCTATTTTTAAGTAAACGTTCGTTAGGAAAAAGTAGACAAATATGCTTAAATAATTTCCATGGAAATTCTTTTTTAATTTTTTTTTTTTTCTTGAATTTAAAATGATGTCGGAATTAGTTGGAAACGTTTGGAAAAGGTTTTTTTTTGTTTATAACGAAAATATATTCACTCGAATGAACGTAATTAAAATGTAAAGAGTTAAAAACGTTGAGTGTGTGTGTGTGTGTGTGTTGATGGAAAAATATTCAAATATTACATTTATATTTATTTATACTACGTACGATGAAAAACAAAATTCTATGATATTTTGTGAAAAATTTGTAATGCATGGTGGTTGAACGCATTGACGGAGAAATACGTAAAGAATTTCAACTTAGGTTTAACCTAGGTTCAACCTAGTTCGTCATTTTTCTCATCGATAATATTTTGAATATCGAGAACGAGATAATCTTAAGTATAAAATGATATTTTTATTCCTAACATATATATATAGGACCTAGCCGAATTACTATGATTTCAAAATAAGTCATCCATAACACACACACACAAGTGCTCGAGGTAAAGTAAATGTCAGGGAATTCGGAATAAGAAAATACAGAAACTGGGGGAAAAAAGTTATGTGAGAACGGTCCGAAAAAACACTATTTTCAGAGAGTCTTTAAGGATATAAAGTAATATGCTTGAGATATAAGTTAATATACAGGGTGATATCAAAACTTTTCCAACTTAAATCCACGAATTTTCTAAATCGCGATTCGAAACTTTCGGTTCATGCTTTCTTTTTTCTTTTTTCTTCTTTTTTTTTTAACTACGAATCAACTTATAAAAATCATTAAAAAACTTATGCAACATTTTGTGCCATTTATCGATTAGTATAATATTCATAGATGTATTATGATATTAAAATGTAATAAAGTATTTAAATATCAGCAACGTATATGGACCGTTTATTTAAAGAGTGGTGTAAGTCCAATTTCTATAGTAAGAAAGAAAAAAAAAAAGAGAAAAAAGATTTCCTGTATATCCTGCAGATCATTTTAAATATCAAATCGTGGAAACATACTTCGCAATTATTTGCCAATTGTTTATGAAATTGTAGAAAGAATAATATACTTTTCTTTTTTTCTTATGAGTAGTATATACATATATATATATATATATATATGTATATAGGTATGTATGTGTATAATCATAAAATAGAGAAAATCGTCTGAATCGTTTGAACCAAAAGGGAAGAAAATTCGAGTTTGCACGAAGTTAACTTCACGGTTCGTAACTTTGAGCTTGCACACACATACACATATAGGGTTCGACGTTGGTAACTCGTTTAAACCCATATGGTACTTCTCAAATGTTCGTATAAATACAAGAGAAAGAAAACCTAGGTGGAAATTTCAACTACGCGATATATTATAATATGTGTGTAGAATTTAGCGAATAATATATTTGATGATTATAGGTCAATAATTGTTTCTTTTTCTTTTTTTTTTTTTTGAAATTCATTCTAATATATATAATAATATCATTATTTGTTTTATTCTTAAATATAATTATATTTAATAATAAATATATTATTTAATAGTTTTTAGTATTTAATAGTAAGATTATAAATAAATATAATATAAAATAAATATATAAATAATAATTTATAAATAAAAATTTGTATTTATAATTCACTTTTATTTAATCGATACGGCGTATCGCAAAAAAAGAAAAAAGAAAAAGAAAAATAATATAATAACTTGTTAATACAATGTGCATATTTTTAAATTACGATTGTTCAATCAAATTTATGTTTCGAGGATAAAAAAGAAATATAAAATTTTCCCACTTGAAAAAAAGAAAAAAGGGTGCATAATGCATACGTACGCAAACAAATTGGATACGCGTTTGGGGGTAGGGATGGGGGTGCAGACATGCACCTATTGTCTACTTTTTTTTTCTTTTTTTTTTTCCTTTTAACTGTGATCGAAGCACATCGAAGAGAAGAGAAGAGGAAGAGGAGTCCTTCATTTTTTTAACGGTGTCGAGTAGGCTCTTTTTTTTTTTTTCTTTTTTCTTTTTTCTCTCAACGAGAGAACAACGCGACACTCGAGAGAAAGAATCGATCTATGTACGTTCTATTTCGACGACGATAATCGATTATTCCTTCGAACTATTATACTACCATGCATAAGTGGGATAATTGCGCGTAGAAACAGAGAACAAGAAAAATAAAGAAAAATAAAGAAAAAAAGAAATATGCGTAAAAATGTTAAAAAGTTTTGAATAATGGAAAAGTAGCATAAAAGTTTAAGAATCCCAAGTATTATTATTCAGCCTTGACCGGTTAAACCAACTGTGGTTTATATCAGAATTTCTTTTTCCTTTTTTTTTCCTTTTTTACTACGGAAATTGGACTTACACCACTTTTTAAATAAACGGCCCATCTCGATATTTAATGTATATAAAATACAATAGATACATAAACAAAAAAAACACACTCACGCATTCATTTAATAAAAAATAAATAATTTCATCCGTTTTTGTAAAACGTTCTTTCAAAGTTAGAAAATAAGGAAAAATTAGAAGTAAAAAAATATTACCACACGTAACGCTATTTTACCTTGAATGAATGAATGAATGAATGAAAGAAAGAAAAAGCGAGTAGAGAGATCTTAAATAACAAAAAACGAAAAGAATAGAAACCAAAAAAAAATTGTAGCCCCTTCTTTTTCTTTCTTTTTTTTCTTGCCCACTTCTTACGTAGCAGAAACGACGAAAACGTTTCTAAAGAAGGAATTAACGAGGTACCAGCACGAAACCATTTTTTTTATACTATTACACGTACTACGTTACACGTATAAAAGAATAGAAATAAAAAAATATATATATATGTATAATTCTTTTATTGAAGGAAAGATATGTGCAGGAACTTGGTCAAAACTTCATCTTCTTCTTCTTCTTCTTCTTCTTCTTCTTCTTTTTTTTTATTCTTATGTTTCGTCTCGTTCTCTTAGCAATTTTTGGCTATATCAAAGAGGGTTGTTATAAACAAAAAAAGGACTTCTCAAATTGTCAAAATTTGTTAATCTTGAGAAAAAGGTTTCTATTTCATATAAAAATTCATTCGAATTCTCTGGCAAAGAATTTTTTAAACGATTTTAAAAAAAATAAAAGACACATACAAGATATTTACATGATCTCGTACACCCTAGGATTATTCTCTTGTTATGTCTGCGATCAAAAGAAAAGGAGAAAAGGGTATTACAAAGGTGGTGGTGACGGTGGTGGTGACGGTGGTGGTGGTGTTGGTTGAGAAGGGAAGGTGGAAAAGGGAAAGATCTGGTGTAATTAGCTCAGCGCCAAGTCCTTAATTATTGCTCGAACGTTGGCAATTACCTTTTTCAAGTAATTAACTGACTTGTAAACTCACTACGGGGACCACGAGAGAAACGTTTTTCAAAAGGAAAAAATCCCTAAATAATATTTTTCATTCTAAAAGTGTGGTTAACTTTAACAAGTAGACATTTTTTAATAATAAAACATTCCAAAATATTTTTCTTTTCTTTTTTTTTTTTTTTGAGTATAAACGTTCGACAAAGTAAAGTTCGAGATAATCTTAAATAAATAATTATAATAAATATTAAAATATTAAATAATAAATATAAATAATAAATAAATAAATGAATAGATGATAAAGTTATAAACTCGTGTTAGATAAATAATAATTGCATAAATGAATAAAACAGCGACTACGATCCGACAAAATTCACAGGGGCATTATATTCCCTTCTGATAACATCCACCCAAATGATAACATTGTTAATAATTATAACGCTTGAAAGCATTAACTAACACAATTGTTACAGCGCGATGGATGTCGGAATACCAGCTGATTGTCCAAATTTGGTTCTACTGTTCTTCGTAACTCAATTATTCCTACGTGAATTGTCCAAATGTAAAAATCTCGTGCGAATCGTACCTATGGATATGTCAGGATATTATGGCAAGTATTACATACAAAATTATTTCTTTTTTTGTTTGTTTTAAACAATCTGTTAAGTAGTATCGACGAAGGTAGACAAATTTGTCTAATTCTTTACCTCAAATTCGTTATTTCGAAATTCCCGAAGAAGCACGAGTTGAACGTTTAATTCAATTTGTTTTTCAATTATTTACTGCCAAGATAATGCCTTATCCTAACGATCCTAAGAGAGTTTCTTCGATAGAAGTGTGGCACATAGAAAATTCGATTGTCACTGATAAATTTAACGGTAGAAAAGAAAACTTGGAGTATTCCAATAGAAACTCTAATTCTAATTCTAATTTGACACGTGTTTATCGATTTAATTCCAAGTACAAACATCTCCCTTTCCCTCTCTTCTTTTTTTTTTTTTTAGTTAATTTGACATTAAAGGGAGAATAAAGTTAAAAAGAAATTAAAGAAAACGGAAAAAGAGATAATGTTTTCTTTTGTGTTGGGCCATTTTTTTTTGTTTCTTTTTTTTATTTAGAAAGTAGACCAGGACCATCAAACATTGGCAACGTGATTTCTCAAATTTTGCTGTGCAAACATATCACGCCCGACTTTAACGAGGAGGAATTGTGCAGCATCAAAAAGGATTCCGCAGAAATAGGTGCTTTGATCGCTGATTTACAGGAATTCATGCCCCAATCTGAAGCTGATACAGGTATGTTATCCGTTCTATTTCGACTAATCGGATTAGAGAGAGATTCTCCATTACCTAATATACTCGACCAATAAAAGACGAATGCTTTTTTAATAAATATTTCTCTATTGAAACGAGTACGTAAGTCGATAATCACGCTCAACACTAAGTAGATCCTTTTAAAAAAAAAAAGTAATATTATACGAGTATTTAATTATATATTATTATATTATATATATATTAAAATAATTATAGAAAATAATTAAATGGAATAAATAATATTTATGATCGTTTAAAAACTTTGGCAACTTGAAATCTGCATAATTTGATGATGTCGATTTTTCACTCTTCTTCTTCTTCTCTTGATTGTTTTTTGTTTTTCGTTTTTTGGTTTTTCAGAGAAATGCGTGGCCCTACAGGAAGCGGGTAATCGGGTAAGCCGTAACAATGGCGGACGAAAAGTAAATCGATGGAATCCTAACAACAGATCAAGACAATCCTCCTACTGTCGAGGTGGTTTCAAGTTCCTCTGTTGCACCGCCAGAACAAATTACATCTGAGATTTACAGAATGAATTATTGCAATGAAAATGGGAATTCCATCCAGCTTTAGAGGTGGTGGAACTCTCCTCTCCATTTTGGTTCCATTTCATTTTCCATAATTTGTTCTTTATTATTTTTTATTTTTTTATTTCAGGATTAACGTCATCTCCATGATAATTCTAACATGTCGATGAATTTCATTTCGTTTTTATTCTATTTTTGTTGTTTTTGTATTCTATAAATTAAATTGATGCACCTTACGCGTGCCGCATTTGAATATTTGAAAATTGGCGCGACCGCCATTTTAATTTTAAATCGAACGAGAACGACCAATGAGAAACAATATCTCGAATTTCAAAATAAAACGCGCCAAACCAAAGTTTCCCTTATTTGATCGATTAATTTTTTGTTGTTAACAAAAAAGGATGGCCTTTGATCAAAGAAATAAAACAAAAAAGAAAAAAAATAAAGAAAGAGATTAATCGTTAATCTCTGAATTGAATACATATATATATATGCAACTAATTGTAATAGAAAAGAAAATATAATATACACACAGAACAAAAAATAATAGGACGAAGAAATATTTAAACAATATCGCGGAATTGCAATTGAAATAATAAAATATCTTAATTTATTCGATAATAATAATAATTATAATAATAATAATAGTAATTATAATGATAATGATGATAATAATCGATCGAGATGTTATATTATGACGAACACACGCGTTCTATACTTTATAATTATTAAAAATAAAAATAAAAATTAATAAATAAAAGAAGAAGATCGGGATAATAACGACGAAGGAAAAAATAAATAATTGCAAAGAAATAAGACAAACTATAAAATCCAAATAAAAAAATGAACAAGTAAGTGGACCAATCGTCGATCTATTTATTCCGATATTTACTATGTATCATTAATAACTATATATATATATTTATGATTATAATACGTAAAGCTTATAAAGAGAAAGAAAAAAAAAATGAAAAAAGAAAAAATAAAAAGACGTAATATATAGATATTATAGTACACAAAATGGCCGTACTAAATAAGTGATTCTTGATCTCGTTTAATCGTTACTATATTCTGAGATAAACATAGCGATATATTTGTTATTAACAAACAAACAAAAAATAAAAAAATAAAATATTTAATAATATATATTTATCTTAATCAAGAAAGAGAACGTAGAAGAATTTTTAGATTATACTATTAGCAATAAGAAAAAAAAAAACAAAAAGAAGAAGAAGAAGAAGAATGAAAAAGATAGAACAATTCGAGTCATGTCTGAAAAACTTTTGATCATTTTTTAAACTATTTCTATTGAAATGAATTGATTTCTTCTTTAATCTCTTTTTCAACGTTTTATCTTTTATTCATCGTCAGATTTTACTGTTATAATTAATAACAATAATTCGGGAATATTCTCAATAATAATTGCATATTACGACTATGAATCGATCGTATTTTAATCGGATTAACTCTTGAACGCAAAATAAAAAAAAATAAAATAATTGTAATCTTCGTACAAAGTGTACCTGATGATACAGCACCTCGATAATCACTCAAATGACAATTTCCTCGATTTGTATGCATATATACATGCATATATATGCATATATACATGATTATTGTATCTATATATGTGTATATTTCGGTTTCGTTATGTGCATATAAATACTTGAATAAATAAATGCATGGATACATATACATGCACGAATAAATGCACCTATAAATGCATTCATTAATGCATACAAAAATGCCTGTAATTAATGTTGAATTATATAATAGATTTAGTCGTGTACAGTGCTTCGATAAAAAAAAAAAAAAAAACAAAGAAATGAAAAAAGGAATAAAAAGTAAACGTTCAATGAATTACAAGTTTTTTCTTTAGACGTTGTTCGCGAATGTGTGTATTGTTAATTAATTAATTAGTTAATTAATAATAGTAATAATAATAAAGAAAGGGAAAACAAGAAAAAGGAATTTAATGAGGAATACGTGATATAGGATAAACTACACATATCAATTAACAATGAATAAATAATGCTATTGGAAAAAAAATCAAAACTAATTTAATTCACTTTATTTCTTCTTTCTACGATGTAATTAACTTATTATTCATTTATTTTCATTTTTTAAAATTAATTATTTAAAATTATTGCTGCACCCTGTATATTTAAGAAATATTTAAGAGTAGTATGTGTTATCGAGACCATTTAAAATATAATCTAATATAATATATTAAAATGATTATTGAAATTGTACAGTGTTGTGTTATGACTTTAAATTAATAACAAAATAAAATATATCTTAGCTTATATTTGATAGATTAGATTTGTTTAATTAAATAAATAGGTTACACATTTAAATAAACTTCGTGTGGTGATATAAAATCTTTATTACAAAAAATAAATTAATTCACTCTACATATACAAAAATACATAACTAGTTAATATTAATAATACTCTCTTTCTTTCTCTTTTGCGATAATCTTATAAATAGAATTTTAATTAATAATAGATGAAAAATGAATATGATAGTATTATTCGATACTATCATATTACAAATATTACATATGCAAGTATGTGTTTATGTTTGTTTGTTTTTTCTTTTTTTTTTGTGTGATGGTTGTGTGCACGCGATTAAGTCACCGCATATACATATATCATTTTTTTAAAGTTTATTTAATACGAAACATGTTTATTATGCGGTGTGAATAAAAAATTACTTTCAATGCGATATAATTGTATGTAGAAATCTCCGAAGAAAATGTTGAAGCATCCATTGTCATTATGTAAATAAATTATGACGACAGTTGCATATTAAAAAGAAATTGAACGGATTGTTTTGAAGAAAACATACATTTCGAAATGTTTTTGCATAGAAAATTTCAAGGCATGTGTACGCATGCATGTTAAAAAAGTTCATTCTATCATTTTCTCTCATAGATCTTATATAAATATATCATATACAATTATAGAAATCTTTTTTTTTTTTTATATCGTGCAACGCCTAAAATATACAATACTTTCATTTAATTACAAACTAACGAACAAAAAAAGAATTATACAATTAATTATTTTGTTCAATTTTCAATATATTAATAAAGTGTTGTACGCCATTTCGATCTACAAAGAGGCTTGGCGTTTTACGCATTAATAGTAAAATAGTAAAATCAATGACTTTCTTTTTGCCTTGCACATTTAATTTAAAATTTCAAACATCGGTGTGAAAAAACTGTAAGCGTCTGTGAGACAACATTTGTATGAAACACCAAAGATACTTTTTGTACAAATTTTCAAGAAAATGCGCTATTGCGTTATTCTTCTTTTTTTTTTTTTTTCTAATCACTTATACAGAAAAATACTCGATGATCATCTTCAGACGACCAACTAATTTAACATTTTAACTAAAATTGCATTTTAATAATATAATTCTCATTTATTTTTTTGTATTTTTCTATTTTTTCTTTTTTTCTTTTGTTTCATTTTGTTCTCTTAAAGTCTAATAAGACTCTTTGTACCTACTTTTTTTTGTTTTTAAAAAAGAAAGAAAGATCCAATAAAGATCCAGTCTTGAGGGATAAAATATTACATTTAAAACACACTTTGCAAAAACATATTACTTATTTTCCTATTTTTTATTATTGGATCTATATCTCTTTCTCTTTCTCTATCTCTCTCTCTCTCGCTCTCTCTTTAGTTTTATTATCTAATTATAAACATACATGTATGTATACAATTAGACAATTATAAAATCATGGCATAAGAAACAATAATAAAACTAATGTATTTTGTTGTTGTTCTATTTCGTCGTTATAGATATGTGTTTCGTTATCTTGCTTTTCATTTGATTAATTTGCTTAAATTTTAATTATATTTTATTATTAGTACTCTGATGAGCATCCGGAAAATTGTACTTTAAAGTTTTCATTTAAAATTCTATTATTAAAGTTTACCATTGTATCTATCAATCGTGTAAACGTCAAAAAGGAACACTACTAAACGCTAACGCTAACGCTAACTGTTTAACTTATATAAATCGGTAAAATATAAAAATTCCTTTTCTAATAGTGTTATAATAATAAAGTGCGCTATTTAATTTACAAACGTCTAGCCTCTTCTAACTACGCATTTTTGCTTTTGTTTAAACTTAGATTTAAAAGCTATATTGCATATCGGTATTATTATATTTAATACATATTTCAACAATTAGTTTTGTACTTGTTTTGGGTTTTCCATTTGTTCTATTCTCTCTTTATATTGAGAATCTAGTTTTCTAAATTTCATTTGCATTTGTTTTTTATGAGCGCTAATAACTTCTTCATATCTTTTTTGTACTTGTATAATGGCTTTTTTGTATCCCTCTTCTAAACGCTTGTGCTCGCTTTGAATGAACTCATCTTTTTTCTTTACAAATTCCTGCAATAGATACAAAAACGTATAGAATTCATCAAATACAATAGAAAAAAAAAGAATATATTCTCTTTTTATATATTATTTATATTTTAATATAATCCTTCATTCTTACCTTATAATTACTGCCTGTTTTCCTGGCTATATTATATTTATGTTTTAATATATTTATATTTTGTTTAGCCTCCTTTTCCTTTTCCTTCAATGCTTCACTTTCCAATCTTAGATTTTGTTCCGTTTCCTTCAACTTTTCTATCTCATCTTTCAATG